CAAAAGATACGAAGACGAAGGTCGCGGCCTTTTGAACGAATGAATGCACGCGTGCGCTCGTGCACCCACACACACACAAAAATGAAGAAGAAGAAGAAGAAGAAGAAGATGAAGAAAAAGGGGCAATGTAATAACGAAACAATCGCCGTGTGCAACTTAGCGTATCATTTTGCTCCTTCTTTCTATCCTCTTTAAAATAAACGTTTTAAAACGGGATCAAAAAAAGAAAGGTGGCTGGAATTACTCCCTGACACGTGCTATTTAAATATCTACTTATCTTTATTAAACTAATTTTGTAAATATTTATTATCTTTATCTTTATCTTCTTCAAACTGTAATAGGCCTTTTTTTGTTATTCGTTCATCATCTTTTTAGAATTAAAATGATATAAGAAAAAATCGATTATACCAATCAGAAAATATTTTCACAATTTACGTCTATGTTTGAACGATCCTAGAAATATGTGCATCTTTTAACGAGTGTGTTTGTATCATCTAATAGCTTTTGTACCATCACGTTACAGGTGACGTCCATTGTTAATTTAATGTCTCTTTTCCGACGTTCATTGATTATACATATACGCATAATCGATCATTCATTTCATGCTCATAAGTTTATATTTCGTCTTAGTTATCCTAAGCAATTGGTTATTAATTTGGTTATTAATGTTTTTACATTATGTAATATCTTTATTAATAAAAAATATACCAATTTAGTTTAATTTAAAACGTAATCAAATTTCTATGCAACATAAGGCTGGCTATTTTATTATCTGAAATTCTATGCAGCGAAGAGTTAAGAAATTCTATTGAAAAAAAAAAAAAAAAAANTATGCATTAGTTAGATACGCATGTAAGTAATTGATTAGAGTATTTTAATAACAAAGTATGAAAAAAAAAAAAAAAACGATATAAATAAATTGAAAGAACGATTTAATCAAGATTGGTCATATTGTTTATTACATAATCCATATATATATATATACTGTAATTCAAAAGGTAAATTCTACACCTATGTATACGTAAAACCATTTCAATTAAAATTATTGTAAACAAAATATTTTATTATTTAACTATCAAAGAAAAATTATTAAATTTGAACGTTGACATTCTATCGTCCGAAAAAGTGAAAAAAGATGTGTAATTGTATAGAATAAAAAGATAAATAATATGTATATGTATAAATTAGTGATTTGTCGAAGAGGAACGATCACCATAACGGTTCTAATTGCGTCCCTGACCAACAAGAGCGGATCCTGTATCAATTACTCGTTCTAACCGCAATATGACCTATTATTGCAAACTTGCTACGAGTTTGCCGACTGTTAACTCGTACTTTCTTTTACTGACAGTTATATTTAATCACGGGTGTGTGTTATATATTTATTGAAATTAGAAAGAATTTATTATATTTATATCGCTTTCTTTCAAACCTATTTTTCTAATTGCCAACAAAATCACTGAGACTAATCGGTAAAGCATATATATACCTATTCATTTTTATATCGAATTAACCATCTTTTATAAATTAAAAATCATGTATTTGTATGCATGAGTGAGTTGAAAAGTTTTTAACCCTAATATAAAATGAAATTAATAATATTAAGATATTTGTTTTTTTTTTTTTCTTTTAAACATATTCATATCTTCCAAGAAATTTCTCATTACACGGATTATTTGAAGAAGAAAAAAAAAAAGATACATCGAACGGGAATTCCTACATTTATCATATTCGAACCGGTATATACATGTATGTTGTTGTATCGACTCCGAAGTACCGTTTAAACGAATACCACTTTCGCGCCTTTGACATGCCTTTCGTTTCGTCCTATCGCGCTACTAGTATTTTACATTAACTTCCTATGCACGCAATAAATATCTTTTATCTTTTATTCTAACGTTAAAGCATCTTAATCTTAGACATGCGATAATGACAACAAGGTACATAAGAAAAACGAATAAATTGAAATATAATTTGAAACAATCAAAACAAAAACTCACCCTTGTGTCTGCGCCATTGTTTGTAAAGTACCACTGCAACGGCGAATAAAACGATGGTTGTTAAAAATGTCCCAATCACTGCACCAACCACGCTTCCTGTACCAAAACAGGAGGAGGAGGAGGCATTATTATCCTGCGATCGGATGTCCTCCATGGCCCTCTTCTCTCCTTCTCACTCTTCTTCTCTTTCCTCCTTCTCTCCTCCTCTCCTCTCCTCTCCTCTTCTTCCTTCTCTTCCTCTCTTCTCGCGAAAATACGCGAATCAGAATTTTCCCGCGTACATATCTAACCACACAACCACTAAACAATCGTCTTGCCAACTGTAAGAATTCACGATTTGTTCTTCTAATTTTCGATTAATTCACTCACACGTTTATTATTAATTTCTACGTTGTTGTTGTTGTTGTTGTTTATTAAAAATTCAATTTAAAAACGATTGTAAAAAGTCCTTAAAAACCGATTATCGCGTAAGAGAACATAACACAATTTATATATTCTTTATATCTCGTTTTATTTCTCACACTACCGTAAATGATTGAAAATGGAAGGATATTCAACGTGACGCGTAAGTAAACATCATACGCTTGCAAGGACGACGCGCGTCGTACTGACTGAAGCGAGCTACGAAGTAAGTAAAACAGGTAGGTACGCAACAGGTGCTTCTAGCTCCCGATTGGTGGGGGCGCTCGGAATCTATTGGTGGGGATGACTAATGTGAGATGGATCCAGCGAGCGAGAGAGAGAGAGGGAATAAACATCGACAGTACGAGAGAGACAAACAGAGGGAAATGTAGCGTGGTACTCCTTCCTTTACGTCCACACGAGAAACAGCTTCCCGAGTAAGCGCTACGCGAACCGGCTTCGTTCCCCTCCCCTCCCCTTGCTACTCTCGACAAAAGCTCCTTTCCACGTATATGTTAGTAAACCTGCTGTTTTCTTCCTTCTCTCTCTTTCCCTCTTACTATCCTAAATAAGAATACATAGCTATAGTCTTTAAAGGATAAATAAATAGATGTGACACGCTCGACGAGTAAAAAGATACGATGTTTGTTTTGATCTCGCATAGGACACTGGCTCTTTACATTTCTCGAAATAATTTTTAACATTTCAATATTAAAAATGTAAATAAAATAGCATGTATGCACCAATATATATTTACATGCATATTTTCATCTTTATTTTTTTCTTTTTCCTTCTGTACTTTTCTTTTTGTTTAAGTGGCAAGGTTCGAGCTGCAATAATGCGAATCAACTCATCGTTTGAATAACCGGTCTTATCGATGCAATACCGTAGTAAGTATATATAATGTAAATGTATATGTGTACATACATGTTCTACTAGGAATGGCACGCGTATTACCTGCCTACCCTTTTTGTATTTTCAATGAGCGCGAAACTTTCTTACTTCGTCGTCTCTCTCTCAATGAATTCCCTGTTACGTTTACTGCGATCGAAAATGAATACTTTACGTTCAAATTTGGAATTTTGTATGTTCTCTTAATACGTAAATATATTTCTCCTATTTTTTTTTTCTTCGTATCCTGCGTCCAACGTGGTTTAGTAGGTTTCAAATATGTATATTTGTATGGGTATATATATGTATATGTTAAAATGAATTTTTCGGTTGAGGAGAAACGGTATGCAGGAAAGATAAAAATGAAGGGAATGGAGAAGAGGCATCTTGGTCGTGTCAGGAATGCAGGCGGTATGTGTTGCGTCCATTATTTCCCTCTCCCCATAATCATCCCTTCTTCTTTTTCTTTTTCTTCTTCTTTACCTACAAACCTTCTGTTTGTGTTCAACCATATATAGAGAAAATTGGATATATGCACTTCTTCCTCTCAAAATATTCGTTCGTTGTTCTACATACAAGCGTACTGTCGATGTCCTCTTTATGTTTATTATTTCTTCTTCCTCTTCTTCTTTTTTCTTCTCTTTTATATTGTTTATTTTTTTATTGTTTTTAATTTATTTTTTAATTACAAAAAATTACATGTTATTTTTCAGTCATCTTTACGACGTAGCTCAATTTATATTTATGACAATGTTCGATGATTATGCCTTCGACACAAACTTTAGACTTTTGCGGTTAAAATCAGGATTATTACAGTTTTAAATTATGTTCGTCAAACTATCCTGGTACGCGATTGATTACCTCACATGCACATGTTCGTTATTTAAACCGACATTTCCGTTTTTTTTTCTTTTCATTTTTCCTTTTATAATACAAGCATGGCGACGATCTATAACATTGAAAAATATTTTCATGACAAAATTAATTATGTAATTAAAATATTTTCTTGATAAAAATAATATACACATATAATACATAATGTTTATCTTATGAATATAATTATTAAATATTCTTCTATGCAATTTACAGATCATCGTATGCACCATAGATGCACCATTTTACAAATATCTCAAATTGAATTTTCTCTATAATATATTTATTTAATTAACGACATAAGAATATTAAAATCATATTTATTTTAATCAAAATATATATATTTACGGTCATCTTCTGTATTTAAAAATTGTTTATCGGATGCATCGATTTAAATAAATGAAAAGTGGATAAGGGTTGCGTATTCTAATTCATACAAAAATGCAAACATTTACATAGATGCATTTCAGTTTCTGTATTAACCTATAATAAAAATGAAATTACATTGTTATTTAAATTTATTAAATTTCATAGAAATAAAACTTGTGAAATTGTAATAATTTTAATTAATTTGTAACCTAAAAAAAACTTGTACAAATACCTACTAGATAAAATAAATCGCATTTCGAGCAATAAGCGATAGTCGACACAAATCGATACATCGATATTTAACAATTCATTCAAGATGGCAGACCGCAACATTGCATTGGCTGCTTGGTTCTAACCTTTTTACGTGCTTCTATTCGCTGGTTGATCGGTGCATGATCCAATCAACGGCGACCATTATAATTTCATTGACTTCTTTGTAATATGAGAATCACGCTTAAAGGGAGTAAAATACCGGTCTTGTGAATTAACCATAGACAAAAATTTGTGAGCTGAATCTTTCATATACCAACCGCGAATTTCCTCAATTGTTATAATTAATCAAGTGAAACAACGAAAATTAAATTCATTTTTGACGTTTACTTATTTTTTCAAACAAACTCCAATTGAATCGTAACCTCAAAATATTTCAAGAATAATAAAAAACAAAAGTACCGCGTTAAAACGTTACTCGACATTTTCACGAGAATATTCTTTCCGATCTCATAAGCTTCGTGTAAATTTAATTGACACAAAAAAACATAACTACTTCATCGAAAATGACTGGAATTTCAGCGGGTGGTGATGCAAGGAGTGCTCATGGACAAGCTTATAAGGATAAAAGTAAACCTGCTGATATTCGTAGCAGTAATATCAACGCTGCGAAAGGTAATTGTACATTTTTTTGATTATTTTAATACACGTGCGTCTACTTCGATTAGTCAAGATCAGAAAAATTCCTTATATAGTAATGTCTTACTAAAATTCATCATCTCTTATATTATAATAATGATAATTCACAATATTTTCAATTATTCTTAACATAAACAAGCAATTATGATATTTGATTATTTAGTTTTATAAAAATTCTAAAAATTTTAATTCCAAATAAACTGACAAATTTGTACTTTCAGCTGTAAGCGATGCCATCCGCACTAGTCTGGGTCCTCGTGGAATGGATAAGATGGTAATATTTATATGGAAGGCTGTTAATAAGTGAAAAAATTTCTATTAATGACCATTTAACATTTCAATATTATTATTATTAATGAAATTCTTACTAATTACACAGATTCAAGCGGGCAATGGTGAAGTGACAATTACAAATGACGGAGCTACTATCTTGAAAGAAATGAACGTTATTCATCCTGCTGCTAAGATGCTTGTTGAATTATCCAAAGCTCAAGACATTGAAGCAGGTGATGGAACTACAAGTGTTGTTGTAATTGCTGGTTCCATATTAGAAGCTGCAGAACGTTTATTACAAAAGGGAATTCATCCTACACTTATAAGCGATTCTTTTCAAAAGGCTGCTTCTAAATCAGTCGAAATACTTACAAATATGTCTATACCGGTTGATCTAGCAGATAAAGAGATGCTTGTTAAAGCTGCTGCTACATCTCTTAATTCTAAGGTGATTTATGAAATACAATATTGACATAAAATTTGGAAAGATTTACAAATTTTTTTTAATGATTTCTTGCTTTATTTTTGTAGGTTGTATTTCAACAATCAAGTTTATTGGCACCGTTAGCAGTGAATGCAGTATTAAAAGTTACAGAACCAGGAAACGAACAGGCTGTTGACTTAAATGTAAAGTGTTGATTATCACTTTGATTATTTATTCTTATACATTTATATTTAATTATGAATTCAATCTGTAGGATATCAAAGTTATTAAGAAATTAGGTGGTACTGTTGAAGATACAGAATTGATCGAAGGATTGATATTTACACAAAAATCGTGTAATGTAAATGGTCCGAAACGTATTGAGAAGGCTAGGATTGGTTTGATTCAATTTTGTATCTCTCCACCTAAAACAGATGTAAGTTGTACTTTGATTGAAAAATGTGTTGTTTGAAATTGTAAGAAATTATACATTAACAAAACATTTTCAGATGGATCACAATGTTATTGTGTCAGATTATTCTGCAATGGACAGAGTTTTGAAGGAAGAACGTGCTTATATATTGAATATCATTAAACAAATTAAAAAATCTGGATGCAATGTATTATTGGTACAGAAATCTATTTTACGTGATGCAATTAGCGATCTTGCTATTCATTTCTTAGATAAACTCAAAGTTATGGTAATCAAAGATATCGAACGTGAGGATATTCCGTTTGTATGTAAAACTTTGGGATGCAGGCCAATCGCATCTTTGGATCATTTTGTTGCTGAGAATCTTGTTAATGCAGAATTGTGCGAAGAAGTACAAACAGGAAATTCTAAGTTTGTTAAGGTTAGTGTAATATTATAAAATGCATATTACGAAGTAAAATAATATTGAATCAATCATTAACATTCGTACTCCTAATTATTCAGATCACTGGTATTCAAAATTACGGTCGTACTGTTACTGTACTGGTACGTGGAAGTAACAAGTTGGTTTTGGAAGAAGCTGAGCGTTCTTTACACGATGCATTATGTGTTATTCGTTGTTTAGTCAAACAGAAAGCAATGATTGCTGGAGGTGGGGCACCTGAAATTGAACTTGCATTGAAATTAGGAGCATATGCTCAAACGTTAAGTGGAGTTGATGCATATTGCATTCGAGCTTTTGCAAATGCACTGGAAGTAAGTGTTAAATATTTGTATAATTAATATATCGAATCATGTATATTAAATTAAAATGTAAAATATCAATTTTAGATAATTCCATCAACGTTAGCAGAAAATGCAGGTTTAAATTCAATCGCGACTGTTACTGAATTACGAAATAAACACGCTCAAGGTGAAATAACAACTGGAATCAATGTTCGTAAAGGAGCTATTACAAATATTTTAGAAGAGAACGTACTTCAGCCGCTTTTAGTTTCAACCAGTGCTATTACTCTTGCTTCTGAAACTGTACGCAGTATACTCAAGATAGACGATATTGTTAATACAAATCAATAAGTCACTTTAAAAAAAAAAAATATCAACTGATAATACATTTAAATAACATGGTAAGTTTGTTAATATCCATAAATTTATATCAAATATATAATTCTATACACTTTTTTTACAGATTTTTACGCTTTCATTACAATTGTATTATTTATACGAAGTTGTTCCGCTGGGCTAATTATCATAAAAACCTTTAGTTGCATTAATGTTTTGAATAGCCTTTTGTACTATTCAATGATTTTATAACAGAAACTTAAATTAATAAATAAATTCTTGATAACATTTGAAAAACTCATTTTTCTAGCTATAGTCTCTTTCTGTAACGATAGGACATACAAATATATTTATAATGATTATAACTGTCTTCTCGATTTAGCTTATGTCCTCCTATTCCGTATGTGAACGACCGATTCATATAAAGATCAATACTATTCAATCATATCGTGTGTACGAGTAAATTTATATGGAAGGATACCTCGAGTACATGCGAACAATTGCACTTATGATAAAAATGTGTTTTTCTTTTTTTCTTTTATTATTATATATTTGTACAATTTCTCAAAACATATATATAACATATTTCGTATTACATTTGTTTTCTTTTCATTCAGCATTATCAATACATTTTTATACCAAATTCGGTGCATTCATATAAAACGTGTAAAGTAATAAACTTTTCGTATTATTTGAGATTTATCCATTCAACTATTTTTTTTTTAATTTTCTTTTCTTTTTTATTTACACCATAATTAAAGGATTTATTTATTAAGATTTGCCTTCTCAACTATAAGTAATAATTATTATTTCAATGTAACATACATAATAAGTATATTCTGAATAACAATATTTAATGACAGTAATAAAAAATAGTAATAAGTTAGCTGTGTATGTGTCTGTGCATATACGATCACAATGATTAAATTTATCAAAGTATAATTCAAGCTTGATTTATATATAATATCTAAAGAGAGATAAGCATTATATTTATTAAGTACAAAGGAAGATTAATTAAATAGAATAAATTTGTTTGATTGCAAGAAATTTCTTCTTTATATAGCTGCTTATCCTCTCCTGCTCTGATTAAAAATATAAATTATAATAATAATAATTATAATAATTAATGTAACTTTATAACAATTCACTGCAATATCTCGTCAATGTTTATCAATTTTATTGATGAATGTTGAATTCATTATTTTTTTTTTTAAATATATATAAATAGCAAAGTTCTTCGTAATTATGTCTTCATAGAAATGTTAGTTGCAATATTAAAATGTTATATTATTGGAATGTGTATTTATAATTATTAAATCTGAAATATTTATTACACCTGACTTAGGTTGTTGTATATACTGTAAAAGATATATCAAAAAATGATTATTATAGTAGTGAAAGTTATGAATAACAAAATGTCTGTCTTCTTCATGTATTTATGATTGCACATATTTAATATCACAAAGTACAAAAATTATATTGATCGCGAGAGCATTTATATATTTAATTATCAAAATATAAATTATTCTAATCAAATGAGAATATTTTTCTCATTGAGAAAATATTGTTGACATTTTTGCAAGTTATATCAAAATTACTACCTTCAATTAAATTACACATGAGAATGAAAGAATGGAAGCTCTCTTTTTATATTGTCTTTCATATATTGAAATATATATTAATTTTTTATTATTATATATTATTTTTGAAATAATATTCATATAAATTATCGTAAGGATTTATACTTTTAACTATAGTGATTTTTTTTTTTTTTTTTAATCACAAATTTAATAAGAACATATTTAATATTATTGTAAATGATTAGTCGTGTTAGTATAAAGATTAACGTTCATAGTGGAACATTGCATTCATTAAGAGCATTAAAATTGCCATTGTAGGAAGGAACAATTGCCCAAAATTACATATACATACTTATAAAGAGCAGTCTCATTTAAGTGATCTAGTTTTTCCAAAATGGACAAAATTAATAATAAATTAGAATATTCAATAATACGAATTTGTAAAGTGTCTTTTTTGTTATTTGTCCATTTGTGTAAAAACATGACAAAATTTGAACTATAAAATAGAAGACTGAACTTTACAGCACCTTATTGTCTGTTGTCTCTTAGCATATCATTTTCATAGTTTATGTGCTTTGTGAATTATACTAAATGATGATTTCACAAAGAATTTTTTTCTTTTTAGATATACATATATATATCGTTACTTAATTTGAAAATTATTTAGCAATTAATCACAACGTTTCCATTTATATTTAGCAGGTCAAATAAGATTTGTGTAAAACATTCCTGAAATTATTATGAATCATATTAAAGAAATAATTTTTGGAAATTATTTTCATATTAATATTAAAAGTTAAATGTCACATACCCCATAAAAAATTTATATTTAAATACATTCACCAATGTGGATCAATCTCATGGAAGGACCATTGTTGATACGTGTTATTCACATCGCAGGGCATTAACGACAACTGTTGAGTTTGTGGATGAAGTGCCATACACTTTTTATGGACTCGATGTAACAAAGTTTTAGTTTTCTAAAAAATAATTCATAAATTAATAAATTATAAGAAGAATAATTCAACATATTGGATATATTTGTAAATGATATTATACTTCGTCATATTGCCAAGGACCATCAACTGTACCCAAACGACAAAATGCTAATTTGACTCCATTGCTATCAGCTTCGATACAACGTTCACCAACACCTAGCTGACCTTTCGAATTTAATCTAATCAGCTAAAAAGAAATATTACTGTTAAATATTCAATCAGGTATCAAGAATATGATGAAACATATGTGCACGAGATTACTTGATTATTTCCATAATTATGACAATATGAAGTGGCCATGAGACTCGGAGGTGCATGTCCCATGGTATCCAAACATGCTCCAGTTGCTCCATTTCTTAACTGTATACAATTATGTTATTTATAACATAGAATTAAAGAATAATATTTTAATACAAAGATCATTCAAAGGTACCTCTCCCCAATGCATATTTGGTGGCAATTCTGGAAATTTGTCTAAAACGTCGTAAGCTACGTTGTCCATGTACCATTGGAAACTTTTACACTTCTTTCGTTCTTTAAAAAGTAATTGTTCCGTTATGTCACCATGATTGAGTAATCTTGCAAGTGGTTCTCTAGTATAAAAGAATTCTTTGTGCTTCTCATCGAACCACGTTTCAATCACTCTTTTATAGTTCTGTAAAAAAAATTCAAGTTAGATTAACTTTAATAATTATGTACAATAACCATAGAATAATTTATTTAAATAATTGTATGCATATTTACAATAGTGATCAACGGTCCTTTCTTCTTTTGAGCGAGTTTTCCAAATGTATAAGGCATAAATCCTCTGTACACGTGTCCAACGTGAGAGCAAGGTACCCAAAGAATACTTCCACCACATTGCCAAATTTTAAAAGACAATTCAAAATTTTCTCCACCCCATACGAGTAATCCTTCATCATAACCACCCAACGATAAAAAGTATTTACGATTTATTGCAAATAAACCACCAGCATGTGTAGGAGATCTAAATTCAAATAATTAAAGATTAATATTTACAAATGAAATATAATTAATAGATTATTGTAATAATGAATGATATACTTGTAAGGCATGCTGTCGTGTGGTCGAGTTTTAGCTTCTCTCTTAGGTAATTCATTTTCTTTATACAACATTCCCCATTCAAAAATTCCTCTATACAAGTGTCCTGCTTGATAGACTGGTCGATATGCAAAATTTTTATGATCAATACCATCGATCACAGGAACTGTCATTACATTGCTGTAATATTTGAATTATATACAATTAATATATGTGTGAATGTTGTATAATTAAATATTAGATAGTACCTATTCAATGCAATTGGTGCTAAAAGTGGTGGTAACCAGTTAACATTAACTTCACAATGAGCATCCAAAAAGACGATAACTTCACCCGTAGCTTCTCGTGCACCTCTTGATCTTGTTCTTATCAATCCTTGTCTTTCAGTATTTCTAATTAATCTCACTTTACCTTTCCATTGTTCGATATAAGATTCTAGATCACCCTTCAAATTTTCTAGAAAAAAAATCGATAATTGTAAATATCATTTATTGTTGTTGTTCGCATACAACAACCTTGTTGTTTGCACACAGCAACCGTCAGAGTTGCGTCAGGTTATTTATAAATGCATTAAAAAATATAAAATATACCTTTATCAGAGTAATCATCAACAAGAAGAATTTCTTCCAACAATTTGGATGGTGTTCTATTCATTACACTATGTACAGTTCTCATTAACACAGACCAACCTTCATTATGAAATACTATAATAACACTTGTTTTTGGTAAAACAAGTGGATAATTCCAATGTTTGCATCTAAAAAATAAACAAACATCAGATTATATGAAATAATATTGAAATACAAGAAGAGATACGCTGTAAAATTGATAATCAAACTTACTCGGGTGGTCTAGTGTCAGGAATTGATCTATCTAAAGAAATTTCATCAGAGCAAACCATATTCATACCATAATCAGATTCAGATTGTTGAACGTCGTTTTGTTGATCATCTCTTAATATGTGTGCTTTACCATCTTCTCCAGGACCTACTCTTGGTTGTACATTTCTTGGCTCATAGTTACCTAAATCTTCTACTAATTCTGGAACCTGTAATTCAATATGTTTCACATAATATTTACACTTAATTAAATTAAATATTAGATTTTTAATTTGTTTACCTGTTTGGTTGCTAGTTGTTCCGACCAATATACTTTAATATTATGAACTTGATTGTCAGAGAAGAAAGAAACAATTGTATAAAAAATAATTAACACCAATAACCCTCCAATTATAATATTAAATAAACGGTGTCTTCTTAACTGTACAATTCTCATTTTTACATATAAATATATTTTGTCTAAAAACAAATAAACATATCGTATTAGTAAATAGAATATAAAATAATTGTTATCATATTTCGTACATAAATATGACACTAAAAAAAAACTACTAAAAATAATCATAAAAAAAATATTACAGTTAAACGTTTATAAAAATTTGATATTTAAATAATAAAAATAAGTAAAAGAGACACGTACATCTTCTCTCAATGAAGAAAAATATAATTTTTCTAAGGAATGTTACTTCACTATGTGTGTGTTTCTATGTATATCTATGATTATTATAAATGTCACATTTAAGTTACACTTGTACAAACATATACATTGTTTAAATTAAAAATTATATGACTATATACTAGTTACAACATAAAAGCCAACGTGTCTATCACGCGGGGCAAGAAAATAGGAACAAAGCTGTATAGTAGGGAACATCCAGTTATT